ATTCCAGCCAACCAGTGCTCTATTCCGGTACCTCCCCACCCCTACTCACCTCCACGGTGACCTTGTTTGCAAGAAGCTCGCTGAGATCTTCGCCAACACCATCACTTCACCCAAGAAAACTAGCAGCTCGGAGAACAAAATGCTGCATTGCTTTATCGGCTCCAGGTACAAAGATGATTGCCCAACAACCAAAGGTGAGATCACAGGCTTGCTCATTGCTGCTCTTTTCGCCAAGCAGCACACTAGCTCCATCACAACCACTTGGACAGGGGTCTACCTCCTACATCACAAGGTAGCGACATTCGTTCACTGAGAAGGTAGCGGCATTATATGATCAAACAAAGACTAACAAGTGGGAACTCTTAAAGAACTGGCTCAACACAAATCCCCAGCAAGACCATTTCAGCATAACTTAAACATTCTTTCTCGATGATCAGATGAAAGGAAAAGAAGCTCTGACATTTTCTTATGACCTTCAGACTGGTGCTGCACAAGCAGAAACCAAGTTTGCATCACTGTTGCAGATTTCTGTGACATAATCTGTCTGTGCCATGGAATTCATATCATCATAACACTAAGGAAGAACATAATAATTTCCCATATCATCTCATTCCTCCGGATGTGCTGGTGAATTACCAGGGAGCTGTAAGCGAAAACTAGTGCCCCCTGTCTTAGTCTCGAGAACAAACACAGTGATTTTCATCCAAAACGGGAGTAAATTGCAGAAAATCGTATTGAAGGATAATCTTAAACATAATAGCATTTAATCAATTAACTCAGGATATTGTTCTACATATATTATAAAATACATTCATTGTCGATATATTCAACTACATCTCTCTCGATGTATGACATCAAATAATCATCCATCGATTCATCCCCAATGCGACTTAGAAGCTTCTCCTTTATATAAATCATTGCAGTAAAAGTTTTTTCAGTACCGGGACTTGTTGCTGCAACCGGCAAGATCAAAGCTAGTTTCACAAGCAAGTAAACGAGAGGGTACTTCTTATGCATGTTAGTAGGCACCATTTTCCGTGAAAGTTCTTCAATTCCTTTTAGTCCTCTGAATCTGTCATCAAGATGCATTTCTTGAATATAAGCATCCAGTTGACTGTCAAGAGATACAACATCAGCATCAGAGAACTCAGTAGAGTAAAATGTAGCCAGCTTCACCACCATTTGCTTGTTGAAGCCTTTAAATGAATCATCTGGAACTAGGCAAGCAATAGAACTCAACAGTTCCATATTCACTGCATCAAACTGACTATTAAGCTCTTGCAATAGCATATCGATGACGGTACAAAACAGCTCAGCATTTCGCCTAGTTCTTCCAGGCAAAACATACAGACCATCCATATTAGGAATATCAATATATTCTTTTTTGCAGAAAGAAAACACTTCATCAAGTAATGACCCCATTCTTTCTCTCGCATATCTTGTAACCTATACTTTGCCTCGGGAACAAGGTGCATAGCGTGAAGAATCTGCTGGTCTTTCATTTGCAATGCATCGGACAAAACATTTGTGATTAACAATATCCTAATCATCATTTTCAAGATGAAGACAAAATCAAACTTTTGAATTGATATCAACAGCCCATACGCTACACCTTTTGTTTCAGAATATTGCTCATCTGCAATGTCATTCAAAACATCATAAAACATCATAAAACATCACATCCAATATAGCAAGTGTGTTCAAAGGGGGACAGGTTATGGTGATTACTACACCGTGGTTACTAAGGGTAAATTGGGTATGGAAAAATAAATTATATTAATTAATTTTTTAATAAATTACATTTAAGGTAGTTACAAAAATCTATTAATTAAAAATCTCTCTTTCTCTCACTTCCGTAATCTCCAGCCAGATTTTCTTTCCATATTTTTCTCAATCTTTCTGCAAAAAAAAAAAAAAAACGAAATCAGTACCAATCCATTAGACAAACACTACCACTTTGAAAAATATCAATACCATTGCATAAATAAATCTATACCATTACACGAAAACTACCATTGCAGAAATAAATTTATACCATTACACGAAAACTACCATTCAAGAAATAAAAACACTACCATTTCACAAAACATCAATACCATTCAAGAAATAAAAACACTACCATTTCACAAAACATCAGTACCATTGCAGATTTAATCACTACCAATGCGACAAAAATAATACCAATGCGACAAAAACAATACCAATACGACAATAACACTACCACTACGAAAAAAATGACTACCATTTAAAAAAATCACTACGGAATAAAATGACTACCATTTAAAAAAAAACATACCATTCCAATGGAATTCCTCCTTCCTTTGACTGCTACGGAATTAAATGACTACCATTTTGCTGCTGAGTGCGATCGGACTCAATCGGCATCTGGGTCCCATCGCTTACGCCATCAGTCTCATTCGTGGGCTCTGTCTGGTGGTGGTGGTCGCACTTCCCGTCGGTCGCCCCACCATCGATGTGGTGAGAATGAAACTTTGAGTCCCTGTCGTCGATCACCAAACTTTGAGTCCCACCATCGATGATAACTACAGACAGTTTTGTATTGGATCAATAAAAAAAATAGGCTAACCGAAAATGGTGTGGATGAGAGTTGAGAGCACTACATCTCGTTGTCTCTTGAGAGAGAGAGAGAGAGAGAGAGAGAGAGGAGGGCGGTGGAGGGGAGGCCGGCCGGCGGCGGTTTTCGGGAGCGATGAGGTTACGGGGACTGGGAGGGAGCTTGGTGGCGGGTTGCAATAGGTAGGGTTTGGATTATAATTTATAGAGTAATCAGGTGTGGTATATTTTTCAATTCCAAAATTACCCTAATATAATTTTCATCGTTAATTTAAAATTAGGGTGAAAAAGAAATAATGAATGGTGTAGATTAAGGTAGCCACCGTGATTACTAAAAATTAAGTAACCAAGCTAACTCATCCCGTTCAAAGGTGACCGCCAATGCTTCATGAAAAAGAGACATGGCCACCGATAAGTATCAGTATCACTAATCATTTCAAGAGCAATTCCTTGATCCAATCCTCCTTCAGTCTTTGGCTCATCCTGAAATAAAGCCTTTGCAAGCTTGGCAAACTGACTGTTGTCACTTCCTTTACAATATGCTTCAAGTAGATGAACCAACTCAGCAATGATTGAGAAGAATACATTAACATAGATTTGATTTCTAGCAGTACCAACAACTGTCAGCTCAAGTTGATGGGTAGAACAGTGTACATAATAAGCAGATGGATTCTATGCTAAAATCAAATTTTTTAGGTCATTGATCACTCTAGTCATGTTGCTAGCTCCGTTGTAACTTTGCCCCCTCATATTTGACAAGCTCAATCCATGCTGTATAAGCATCGATTCAATTGTTGTTTTAAATATTGAAGCTTTAAAACACGCAATACGAGAAATACCAAGAAATCTCTCCTCAACAAAGCCTTCCTGATCTATATACCGCAGAATCATAGTCATATTCACTTCACCTGACATATCAACAGCCTCACCCACAAAAATGGAAAAAAAGTCATCTCAGAGATGCCCAATTATATCCAAGGTTATTTCAGCTGATATTGCATGGATAATATCTTTTTCTATATCCGGAGAAGTCATTTTAAGATCATCACCCAACTCGATGCCTTCCATATCTTCTGCATCTAAAGCATATACTCTCAGGAGGTCAGTAGAAAGACTTGGAATGTCTGAAAACTCTAATACATCACGTTGTAGGAATATCCATTCCATGTCTATCATGAATTTGATGCCATCAATTAAAGCTTTTACTAAAATTGGTGGGGTGCGCCAGGCCCGTGCAGTAGTGCAACGCATGAGCGAACGATCGAGAAGGCCCCTGATGCAAGCTTCAGTAGTGGGCCTTCTCCCCCTAGAAAAATAAATTTAATATCGTGTGGGCTATTGGCCCACGTATCAGATATTAAACTGATAAGAACAGATACTACACTTGATCTTAGCCAAAAGGCCGAGAAAGGTATGACTTGAACAGTTGCCAGGGCTTCGGTTTTATATCACACTCACTTGGTCGCACAACTCTGCCCAGACGATGTGGTACAAAATACAATTACAAAGAGGAGGGTTCTGTTTCCGACTGCGTAGATAGTAGCCAAGGACAAGAAGAGTAAAGAAGAACCCTATGGGAAAAAAGATAACTATCTACAACCTAAGCTTGCAGCTGCCAATGACGTACAAATCAACAGTATTCACTACTAGTACTCTCTCCTTCCTTCATGTTTGAACACTCAACCAAAAGACACCTAGCTCTCCGCTCAACGGCAGGCAGAGCAACAATGGCGTTTCGAGAATACAGAGAAGAATCAGAGCGAAGGAGGGGCTGGCAGGGAAACTATCACGAGGAGGTCGCAGCAGCCAGCAAGTGTGCCGGACTTCGTTGGATTTGAGCACAAATACTGTCAAAATATAAGAGTTTCGTATTTCCTACCAATGCAGTCAAAATCGCATTTTAAAACTTAAAAACTTACGATTTTACGCTTTTAGGTCACCAAAACACTTTCATTTCCATATAAAAACTTCAGTATATAAAATCGGACTAAATTGCGCTTAAAAGCTTACGGTTTTACGCTTCTAGTTACCAAAACGCTTTACGTTTTTACTCTTTTAGTTCACTAAATGAGTATTCTTTTCATGAAATTAATTATAAAAAGTATATTTTAAAAGTAAATCACTAACAATATGATACATTTGAGATTAAAATATACATATAAGGTACTTGTATGCATTCTCAACTTCGATATAGTAATCTAATTCACCCGTTAGGCTTTTCCCAAATTCATTAGCATAGTGGGAAAAGTGGCTTATTGTTAAAATTTATGTTTACAAACTTATTACTAAGATGCTATAAGTTGTTCTACTTTTGGCATGAATCGCATGTATTTATTGACTTATCTAAATTCCGTGCATTCATATTTTGCATAGCATATGTCATACTTAATACATTTTTAGTTATTTTTCAGTATGGGTCAAAAACTTACGCTTTTACGCTTTGATTCTACGCTTCACGAGTTTACCCCTTTTCCGCTTCTAGGTAGAATCGCGCTTTTGACTGAATTGTTTCCTACAATTGTTCGAAACAAACCATACAAGGATGAGAAAATAATGTAAATTAAACCCACTTGAGGGGCGAATGGACGATGGATATCATCTAGGTGAGAGGGCACGGGATTTTGACGAAGATCATGACTAGCTTTGTCAAGATGCTATCAATTAAGTAATATTAGAATTTGTAAAAATAATCAATAATCGTGGACGTGCCGGAGTGGTTATCGGGCATGACTAGAAATCATGTGGGCTTTGCCCGCGCAGGTTCGAATCCTGCCGTCCACGAAATCTTTTGTAGTTTTTGACGGAAATCTGGCTTGGTCTCTGAGTCTCCTGTTGGCGGTTGAGCATGTGTTGTGAGACTTGTGGTTGCAACTTGCAACCAACAATTGTATTGCCAACTTTTGATCATAAAAAACTTCGGTCTCAGGTGGAGGAATTCGTATTACATGCGCCGAAATTCGGCGGCTAGGACAAGCATTGAGGTCACCTCGAATGGAGCTACGTGTGATGTGAGACGAAAGGAGAAATGAAGCTGGCAGACATCTTAGTTCATACTCTCTCTGTGGATGGGTGCAAACTAGCAGAAATGAGAAACAACTTTGAGGATGGCTCCCTGAACTTGACTGACAACCCATCTTTAGTTTCAGATTCAGTTTGATTTTCCAGATAGGAAATGCGCAACTTGGTATTTTGTCGGGGAATGTATGGAAGAGAGGAGGAAAAGATGCAGAGGTTCTGAAGTAGCTTATCATAGTGACCTGGAAAAAGAGATCAGAAGGTTAATTAACTACTTGCCTTACTGATCTCTGCTTGATTCTGGTACATATAAATTGACAAATCTACATCATGCTCAACACAAATCTCCTGCAAGACCATTTCAAGCTAAATTGGCATTCTTTCTCTACAATCAGATAACGCGAGAACAAGAGCCAGCATCTTGTTACGAGTCTTGTGACCTTTAGATTGTACTGCAGAAGCAAAACCCAAGTTTAAATCTGCGAAACTGTTGTAGATTTCGAGGGAATGCCAGAGAACTCATAGATGAACTTTTCATGGAGTGGAACATAACAAATTTTCCATATCATCTTCATTCTAATGTGCTGGTTAAGAGTCAGGGCAGCTGTAAGCAGAACAAGTCTTAGCCTCCAGAACAAACACAATGGTTTTTAATGCAAATGAGATCAATTGCGAAATATGTATAAAGTAAATTCCAACCCAAAATAGCATCTAGTTGATAGATGAAACTGTTCTACACAAAATAGATGAAACTGTTCTACACAAAATAGCATCTAATTGATAGATGAAACTGTTCTACAAATATTCTAAAATACATCCCTTATCAAAATGTCGAACTGCATCTCTCTCTATATATGCCATCAGATAGTCATTCATCGACTCATCGCCAATTCGATTTTGAAGCTCCTCCTTCATGAATATCATCTCAGTGAAAGTTTTTTCAGCACCTGCCCTTGTTGCTACTACTGGTAAGATCAAAGCTAGTTTCACAAGTAAGTAAACTAGCGGGTACATAGTATGCTTCTTTGTCATCACCATTTTTCGAGAAAGCTCCTCAATTCCTTTCAAGTTACTGAATCTAGCATCAAGCTGCAAATCTTGTATATAAGCATCCAATTGACTGTCCAGAGATATGATGTCCGCGTCAGAGAACTCATTAGGATAATATGTAGCAAGCTTCGCCACCATTTGCTTGTTGAAGCCTTTGAAGGAATCATCTGGAACTAAGCAAGCAACACAGTTCAACAATCCTGTAGTCACCCCATCGAACGTACTATTAAACACTTCCAGTTGCAGATCCAGAACGCTATAAAACAACTCAACTTGGTAGTAATGCAAATTAGTGATTTGTGGAGCCTTAAACCTCTTGGGACGAAGATCTTCCATATTAGGAAGATCAAGACATTGCTTCTCGCAGAAAGATAACACTTCACCAAGAAAAGACTCCCATCCTTTCTCCCTCGCCTCTTGTAATTGATACCTCGCCACATCAACAAGTTGCATGGCATTTAGTATCTGCTGATCTTTCATTTCTAATGCATTAGACAATGCATTTGTGATCGATAATACTCTAATCATCATTTTCAAAAAGAAGACGAACTCAAAATTTTCAAGTAATCTCAACAGAGTAAATGCTTCACCGCTTACTCCGTAACGTTTCTCATCTTCAATGGCCTCCAACACATTAATCACGTCCGAGAACATCACATCTAAGACAACAAGTTTCTTGAAGTGTGACTGCCAATAAGTATTACTAGCCTTTACGTGACCAAGTTCGTGATTCGACCCTCGTCCAATCTTTGGCTCATCGTGAAATAAAGCCTTTGCAAGCTTGGCATATTGACTGTTGTTACTTCCTTGACAATATGCTTCCACTAAATTAATCAAGCGAGTGACAGTTATAAAGAAAATATAAACATCAACGTGATGTTTAGCAGTAGCAACCACCGTTGAGTCAAGTTGATGGGTAGAACAATGAACATAATAAGCAGATGGATTTTCTGCAAACACCAATCTTTTTAGACCGCTGATTTCTCCATTCACGTTGCTAGCTCCATTATAGCTTAGCCCCCTTATCCTTGACATGCTCAACCCATGTTGTACAAGCATCGACTCGATTGCCATTTTAAATGCCAAAGCTTTAGAATCCGGAACACGAGAAATACCGAGAAGACGCTCCTCAACAGATCCTTCTTGATCCACATATCGTACAACAATAGCCATATGCTCTTCTCCCTCCACATCAAAAGCCTCATCCACGAAAATGGCAAAAAAATCATCTCCAAGATGTCCAATTATATCCAGGGTTATCTCAGCCACTATTGCACGAACAATGTCTTTTTCTAAATCCGGAGAAGTAATTTGAAGAATTTTCGGAGGATGACCCGACACGATGCTTTCCAAATCTTCTCTACCAGAAAAAGAAGCAGTGAATTTCAGAAGCTCAATAAACAGACCGTCCTTGCTCGAAAACTCATCTGGTTCATGAAATATCCATCCTTGGCGTATCATAAGTTTCATGCAATCGATTGCAGTCTCCAACCCAGCCCTATAATCTCTCTTCGTCTGATCTGATATTTCACTCCTGACAAGTTCAACATTTTCCGACTGCTTCATCAAATCCTCACGTTCTACATTGAACACACTACTAATAGGACTAGAAGCACGAATATGAACATCCAGCTCGTCTTTCCCAGTCGAAGATATCAAACCAGCACCAAGATCCATCTCACTAGTATCACCAAAACCATCTTCCAAAGAGTTTACATCAATCTCACATCCCCCAGTTTGATTAGGCAGGCACTGGGTTGAACTATGATCATGTTTACTACTTGCTCTTGATTCACTAGTGACCTTTTTACTGAAATGTTTCTCCATTGTCGAACTGAGACCTACATTTTTTTCAAATGCACATATTGTTAATTAACATCAAAGCAATTCACTTTTAACTAAACTAGGGTTCACAAATCAGAATCCTTGATCACACACGCCCCAATAATCAATTCAAGATCAGAAGTTGGAGTTTTTTTTTACCTCAGCAGCAGGGGCGGAGTAGACTCAAGAGGCGCGAGGCAGTGGGCTGCTGGGGAGGAGAAACTGAGTCGGAACCGGCAGCGGCAGTGACGCAGTGCTGCTGCCGTCGACGATGAGGATAGCGAGAGCCGTACGGGAAATGGCGGCGCCGGGCCAGCAATGGGCAATTCAAGAGACGGGGTAAAATTTCCTTTCTTTGACTGGAGGGAACCGAGTAATATAGGGATTCTTTTGGAGGGGTCACGCGCTAAGCTGGGTTAATAACATTTTAACCAGGATGGTTTGTAAACAATAAATCGGTGAAAATTTTAGTAATATGAAACGATTAAATCACAATTACAATTAAAAAAATATCAAATTGATGACTTTTTCTGATACACCCTCTAGTTTTTTATATGTTCGACATTACTTTGTGGACATACCCTAATTCTCACCATTTCAAAAACCAAATCACACAGGGGATGAAAAATACCATGTTATTGTTGATGCCTTTTTTTTTACTTTCTGAGATACAAGACTGACGTGGAAGAAGTTACCATCCAAACAGACAGTAACGAGTAAACACAACCTATTAACTCTCATGAATGCAGAAAACAGTAGCAGTAGTTGAGAACAATAGCCAAAAGGAAAGAATGACAACACCCAACAATACATCTTTTCTCCAGGTTCCCCCCAATTCCCAAGTAAACACCCAAAACTCCCTTCTCTATTCTGTATGATGATGCATCTACAAAAAACATAATAGGCAGGCAGGTTGATTAGAAAATTGACAACAGAAGATCCCATTTTGGAGGAAGGAAGACAAGACAGCTATGCAAATTACAAAAAATAATCGGGTGTTCTGCGTGTAGTCTCGGGTTCAATCTGGCGTGGCGCTGGGTCAAATTGCAGGAAGTTCTGCTCCATGTTCTCTCCAATCTCGAGAATAGCCGCCATGTTGCCACACCGGTAGCAGTAATTCGGGGCACTGAAGACCGTCACCACGTTCTTGTCCTGTTGAAGTTTTGAAGTCAAGATTGTGTATTAGGGAGCAGAACTATGGTAGTGAAGAGTTAAAGAACTTGGATCTGATTCCTGACTTCCAATGTACTCACCTGGGCCCAATTGTAACCTTCCATGACAAGTTGGTGAGCTCTAGATATGAGAGTGAGGCCGTTGGTGTGGTTGAACTGTTGTGAGATGTCCTGTCCAAATGTGTACCCAGCACCACGAGGAGAAATGCCCCATCCACATCGGTCATCTGGGTCGGACCATAGGAGGTCACACATAGGACCCTCGTGTGGTACCTAAAATAAGCCAGAGATATCCCAAAGCAGCAACCAATTAACACCCAATTCAGAATGACGTCTATCATATCGATTATACTTCATCACTATATCAAACTACCCATACAAAAAAGGTTGAAGATAAGGGAATGATTTAACAGCAGTCTACCTCTTGGATACGATCGAGGGAGCGAATGTTGTCTAGAGTGTCAAGTGAAGGGGAAAGCCCACCATGCAAGCAGAAGACCTAGAGAGCAATAGATGTGTGTTATAAAGCATTATAATATAACAATCACAAACACAGGGACAGAAGAAAGTGTAAGCTTATCTAACCTGACTCTCAATCAGAGCCGTGAGTGGGAGATAATCAAAGAGATCAGTAAAATGTTTCCACACATTGGCATTTCCATATTTTCTTAAGCACTCATCATAAAATCCATATCTGAAAAAAGATACCAGAATCTCATGATATCAGCGGGAACACCACAAAGTTTACAATTCAGATAATAATTGACACGTACCCATAACAGCAAGGTGAAAAGAAACAATACACAATTGGCTAGAAACAGTGCATTAAAAGTATACGTTTAAGATGATGGGCAAAAATTCCCTAAATAACGCCTTCATTCTAGTAATCTGATAAAAGACACACACCCATAATAGGTAAGGTGAAACGAGGCAATAGATCTTGAAGATGAAGGAAATAATCATTAGGTTTAAGTGGATGCTCATAAATTCAATACATAGATTTCTATTCAAGCAAGCATATTATATAATCTTGTGGCAAAAGTTGGCAACTTAGAGTCTAGAGAGGTACTTGCACTATTCCATTACCGAAAGCTGAGACAATATTATGGACAACTTTACAGTACAGATAGAAAGAGTGAATGAATCAACAAAAATAAGAGTCTTGCAAATAATCAGAGATCTTACACTTGAGTAATTTGACGGCTTTCGTGATTTCCTCTTAGAATTGTAATCCTATCTCTATATCGGACTTTCAATGCGACTAAAAGAGTAACAGTTTCCACTGAATAATATCCTCGATCTACAAAGTCGCAAGAAAATACCATTGGTTAAGAAAATAAATTGCAAACTATTGGAGCTATTGAAACCGAAAGCCATAAGGAAGAGTGAAGTGGTAATTAACATGGCATCTGAGCATGATCAGAGAGCATAGGATAAGGTTATGCACTCAAACCCACATGAAAATACTTGGAAGGAACTGGTTTTTCCATTCAACATAACTTAGTAACTTGGACTTTGAAAATGTTTCCGTGCGACAGTAGCACAGGCTGCTAATCAAAGGCCACATGGCACATTAAATCATAGGAGTAGTAACACAAGGTACATCAATAAAAATAACATGCATAGCAAAGCTAGAAGCTGAGATGCATGAATTACCTATCTGCTAACCAATTACTTCCAAGTTTAGTAACAACAAGCAGAGTTTGCTGTCATCAAGAATCCATATAACTGACTACTACTCTCTTGAAATTTGCTGATTTTTTTAGCAGTAGATTTCCTACTTGTCATGTTCTATCAAGTCGCAACGCGGTTTTTCAGCATCGCTTTAACTTTTCCTTATGCAATTTTGTCAACTTCGTTAAACAAGCAATCCACTTCCTATCACTCTTTACCACGTGCTCCCCAAAAAGAATTTGTAGCGCTTAACTTACACTCCACAAAACTTGCCAAATAATAGCCACAGTCTCTCTCTTACACATCTTCCAGCAACCATAATACATATTGACGCTGATTCGTGGTCTACAATCCAGTACAGAAATAGACCATCAAGTACAAGATAATAAACTATAGAAACACAAAGTTATTGCTTTAAAGATGAGCAGAAGGCCAGCATTTTGGGTTTAATATTGATGTAAAAAGAAAGCATTGCTTCTCAAACCTGCTAGCAGACAATTGATATCATCAAGGCTGTTAAAGGTTGAGTCTTGTCACATGATTTTACTACCTCCTAACATAGGCATCCGTAATTTATAGTTTACATTGCAAAATGCCAATATGGTCTGTCAGATTTAATCACTCTCCCCTTTGGAAGTTGAGAATGGAATATGTGTTAACAATTTACCGACTAGCAAGTGCCGAACTTGGATAAAGTCATTCCTCTAGGACCAGATTAAACACGCACTGCCCTGATTGACACGGCTCCTAAGGCAGTTCAAATTACACCTACCGTTATCTAGTACAATGAGAACCCTCCTAGATAGACACTGTACATCAGAAATTCGAATCAATCATTCAATTGCCGGCTCGCCATCTCCATCCCCCCACTTCCTTCCAATCCCACAGGCTGTTCAATAAAAATACGAAACAATTTGATATCGACTCACCTACATAGTCGCCCATGAATAGGTAGTTCGTGTCAGGAGCGTTCCCTCCGATTCGAAAGAGCTCGACAAGATCGTGGAACTGGCCGTGGATGTCGCCGCAGACCGTCACCGGACACTTGACCGGCTGAACGTTCCATTCCTCGACGAGCACGGCCCTGGCCTGCTCGCAGAGCGCCTTCACTTCCGCCTCGGACAGCGGCTTGCACTGCATCAGGTGCTCGATCTGACGGTCCAGATCGGCTTGGGACGGCATCGTTTCCTCGCTCCCGCTCTTCCTCTTTTCTTTACTTTTTTATCTTCTTCGAAGAGGATTCAATCCGACGGATTAGGTCAGCTACGGAGCTTCGGAACTGAGCTCGGCTCTCTCCCTCTCTCAGGCCATGGCCATGGTTTCTAGGGTTAAACGGAGATGCGGAATGGGAAAAAGGGAAGGAAGATGGAGATTAGAGAGAGAGAGAGAGAGAGAGAGAGAGAGAGAGCGATGATGATGGAGGAAGAGAGGTGCCAGCAAAGAGGAGGGTGTCTCTGGATGTACTTCGCCCAATGTATTATTTTTTCCATTTTCGATGTTTTGCATCTCGATCCCTAATCTTTTCTCTATTTATGTTTTTGATCCCTTGCTTTTTCTCTCTAGGTGAGCTTGACCACTTTTCTCTGTTATTTATTTAATCAACTCTCTTGACCCATCCATTATAAAAAAAAAATTATTCTCTTGACACATCCATTTGTCTTTTCTCCTTCAAAACCAAATTCCCATTTCTCAACAAAAAAACGCATAAACAAGTCCTGTAATTCATTCATAAGCACCCTTTGTATTTCCTAATACCGTAAAAAATTGGTTGTATTTTGAGCAATTTCATAATAAATGAGAAAATAATGGTAGTTTAAAAGATATATACTTGTGTGAAGAAAAACTGAAAAAGAGAATAGGGCTAGGGGTGTTAATTGGTGTGGTTACGGTTAACCGTATTGTTTAGGGTGGTTATTCATATTTGTTTAAAGTTGAATATGCTAATTGCAACTACAATGTATTTAGTTAGCGGTTATCCGTTAGCCGCATAATGCAAGTAGCAGTTACCCGCGTATTATTATCTAGTAAAACCTGCATGATCTAATAGCCAAAAATCAAGAGAATGCACATGAAAAATCATAATTTCCCTCCAACTTCATAAATAATTATTAAAATATATAATTTTCATCAAATTTTAGAAGCAACCATACTTGGCTCATAAACTTTCAACTCAATTACAAGAACGGTAAGATTGGTAGAAAATCGTGTTGATTGCCCTCAATGGACTGAAGCCCCCAACCACAGTTTTTTTTTTTTTACAATTAGACGCTATGCATTGAGTTTATTTAGCAACTTCCTTTCGTTCGAAAAAAAGTAAAATTATCTAGACTACAAAATGATTTTGTTTCAAAATTTTCAAAATGGATTTTAACGAAGCCAGAATAATAAGAGCATCCACATTGGTATTGCAATCTCAATTGCAAGATGACATGACATGCGTGTTTGCAATTGCAAAACTAATTACATTTATGTGGTTACCAATTGAATATTTGCAAGCTTGCAACAAATGCAAGTAAAAAAAAAGTCTAAAAATGGAGATTTTTTATCTTATATTATTTTCTTTCTCTTTTACTTGAGTTTTTATAATTTAAACATAATAGTCAATTACATGCAATTTCAAGTTAATTGCATTGATATAGGTGAATGAAAGTGTGAGTTTAGGTGGATTGCAAAAAAAAAAAATTGAGTTGCTAATAAAAAGCATAAATGCAATTGCTTTTGCAATTGCATTGATAGGGTTGTTAATCAGTGGTTGGTTATTTGGTTAACAACGTAACCGAACCAAGACCGTCAGTTTTTCAGACAACTGAAAACCGCGTCGTAGGTGTCGGTTGGCAGTCATCAGCAAATTAGAGAGGGTTGCGGTTATCAGTGAAAATCAAAATCATGGCGGTTAAACCGTGACAACCGCACGCCCCATCATCCCAGACTCCTCGACGTCCCTGCTGCCAGTCGTTGGCCCATCGTCACTCGTCACCGCCCTGCTCGGCTTCCCCATCGCTGCCTTCGTCCTCCAGCTCCCATTCTCAGACTCCCAGTAATTGTCGCCATCGCCATTCCCTCATCGTCAGTCATCTCGCCATCGTCGCCCCGCAGTTCCGCTATCGCCTAGCAGTCTGACGTCGCCCCGCAGTCCCGCCGTCGCCCAACAGTCTCGACTTCGCCCAGCAAGGCCGACGTCACCCAACCATCCCGACTTCGCTCAACAAGGCCGGCGTCGCCCAGCGGATCCAGAAATCTGGCCAGATCCACCCCCTGCGTCGATCTTTAGCTAACCACGACACCGACCCGAAACCGTCGACGACGATTTTCGACTAACCGACGTCCGACAAGGCAATCGGTGTCGTTGCGGTTGAGATTTTTGGATGTTAGTCCGCTGAGGGTTAATCGCGTTTGCAGTTCGGTTTAAATCGAAACCGCACCGTTAACAACCCTATGCATTGAGGAAAAAATCCCAAAGTACACACGTTCTTAAAAAAAATTCCCAAAATACATGAGTTATAAAAAAATTTCCCAAAGTACACATGTTTGAGCATCACCGTTTTAGACAAACGCGGTGAAGATCATCACCGCGTTTGACAAACACGGTGAATACTTCAACGTTTTAAACAAAAACGGTGAAGTATTCACCGTTTCAAACCAAAACGGTGAAGTTTTCACCGCGTTAATTAACAACGGTGAACACATCACCGTTTTGGTCAAAAACGGTGAAGCCTTCACCGTTGTTAACTAACGCGGTGATCATTTCCCACGTTTCCCACCCCTGGTAGGTCAAAATTAGGTCGCAGCTACCACCTATTCACCGTCTGAGACAAACGCGGTGATAGTGTTCACCGTTTTTGACAAAAACGGTGAATAGTAGGCAGATTTTCCTATAAATAGCACACCACCAGCAGTTGTAAAAACATAACCACTCCCCTTTCTTCAAATTTCAGCAGCCAAAATCGAGCATAATACACAGAACAAAAAAATTTCGGTATGTTGAGACTTTTCGTATTATGGTCTAATTATGTTTTTAGTAGTTATAGTATGATTTAATTTTCGTATTATGTTGTTGTTAGTTAGTTGAACTTATGTTCGTTAGTTATAGTATGATTTAATTTTCGTATTATGTTGTTGTTAGTTAGTTGAACTTATGTTCGTTAGTTATAGTATGATTTAATTTTCGTATTATGTTGTTGTTAGTTAGTTGAATTTATTTTCGTTAGTTATGGTATGATTTAATATTAGTTGTCCAATATGATTTTGGTTAATTTTACTGTCTTTAAGCTAATAGATACTTATTGTAAATTGTAGATATGGGTAAATTCAAGAAGTTTCATCTTACTATTCGGTGGAATGGAAGGGTGACAAACTCTGACATAGGCATTGATTATGAGGACGGCGAATCCATTATGCTGAAAATTGAATCCCGATTCAATTTTCAAGAACTCTATGATCTTTGTGCAGAAAGGGTTTGTACGAGCGGACAGACGAGACTTGGCAAAATTACTTACCGGTATCCAGACATGAGTGCTGGCGGGGTCGTGTTCCAAGAAGTTGTCATAAACGATGATGACGCGGTTATGATGATGTTACAGTTCCTAAGCGATAACCAAGTCCGGCTTGCAGAGGTGTATGTTGAGACCGAGGCGCTCGGTGAATCTCATTCTCACCAGTATTCTTATGATGATGGTTTTGCAGGAGGGTACGAATGGGGTGGTAGTTCGAGCAACTACCAAGGCGGTGGTTATACAGGAGGTTACGGGGAGGGTGGTGGTTCAATCAACTACGGTGGATCGAGTAGTGCAGGATGGGACCAATACTCGCAACCTCCTAAACCAGCCCTATTTGTTGAGGCCGATGGTGTTCAATGGCCTGCTTGGGGGCCAGAGTGGTATGGAATCGAGAATACCATTCGATCAGGGCGTACTTCACATGAGCGAGAGGACGATGTTGGTGATCGTGGTCATGTTGATCCTTCTAGCTCGAGCTATCCATTCGAGTCAAGCGACGAGGATACTGAGGAAGATTTGATATCAGTGAGCGAGGAGGAGGAAGATACTGATGATAACGAGGATGAGGCGGCATTTCGTGAGGCACCCACGCCATATTACACACAGGTTCCAACTCAATTTTTACATAGTCAGAATGATCCCCCCGACTTTGTCCCTATGCCAGTGTACAATCCGACGGCCAATCTGGAGGTGGGTATGGCGTTCACATCGAAAGACGCTGTGCAGGATGCATTTACAGAAGAGGCGTTGAGGCGCAATTTCGAGTGGAAGGTAAAATATTCTGACAGTAAACAATTACATGTCATATGCAAGCATGATGCAGAGGGTTGTACGTGGCAACTGCGGGCTGCAAATATGAAGAGAAAGGGTGCTTGGGTGATTCGCAAAGCTGAGACGATCCACACATGCTCCTCTTCTATACTTTCCCAAGATCACAGGCAACTAAAAGCAAAGAAGGTTGGGAGAACTATTAAGCACCTTATAGAAGCACAACCAGATATCAAGGTGAAAGCTATCATGGCAGAGGTGAAGGATCGACATTCTTACACGATAAGGTACAAAAAAGCATGGCATGGTAAGCAGAAAGCCATGGCTGAGGTGTATGGTGATTGGGAGGATTCGTATGCTTTACTCCCTAGACTTATGGGAGCAATGGAGGAGTCCAATCCTGGGACTGTTTTCGTCCCAGTATACAACAATGTATACACTGAGGATCAAGTTCGAGTACAGGATAAGCTGATGTTCCATCGTCTTTTTTGGGCTTTTAAACCATGCATTGACGGTTTTGGGTTCTGCATACCGGTTATTCAGGTATTTTACCAACTAGTTCCGGTTTTAAATGTTGTATTATTTGCTGTTAAGTATATTTCATACTAATTATATCCTAAATTTTTATTCAGGTTGACGGAACTTTCCTTACTGGGAAGTACAGAGGATGTCTTCTAATTGCCACTGGCGTTGATGGAAACAGGCGGATTTTCCCGCTTGCATTTGCATTAGTGGAAGGGGAGAACCGTTTAAGTTGGGCTTGGTTCTTTGACCAACTGCACGAACACGTGACACAGCGGGAAGATATTACGATTATATCCGATCGACATGCGGGTATAAGGAATGCTGTTGGTGGTTTTCCCGACGAGTGGGGGTGGAGATGGAGATGGTGTATTCGGCACTGGCTCGCCAATTTCC